CACACACACACACACACACACACACACACACACACACACACACACACACACACACACACACTGTCATGTCTTGTAGTGTCCCATGGTTCACTAGTTTCCAGGTACATCCATTATTGAAGCCACAGATTAGTCTGTCTGGTCGTGTGCCCCCCCTCCTCCCCCCTGTCTGCCCCTCTCTGGGTCTCTGCCTGTAATTTTCAGCTCATGATTTTAAAGTGGCTAGACTTTGCTTTAGCATCAAAACAGATGAGAAAAAAAAAGAAAGAAAAGAAAACACAACTAGGGCGACAAACTAACCTTTTAAAATCCAAACGTGAAAAGAAAACCAGAGGAAATAAAAGGGGTCTTCATTTTCCCCCCCATCACTCAGATCTCAAGATCCAAAGAATTATCGTTGTGAAATCTGGGGATGGCTCTGGCACCGTCAGAGGGGTGAGGAATGATTACCCGTGCTGCAGAAGTGAATGCAGATGAACCAGAATGTTGGGATTGTGAGCTATAGAAAGGCGTTCGGCGGCAGACAGAGAAAAGTGCTGTTCTAATCAATTGATTGTGTGAGAAACCAGCAGGTGATGGTGTGCGGAGGGAGAGAGGGGGGTGGCAGCAGGAAATGAGAGGGAGGGGAAGGATGGAAGGGACAGAGTGAGAGATGGAGGTGAGGAGTCATTGAGGTGCTTTTTGTCAGGAATTGGGGGGATCTTATTTCATTTTTCCAGTTCTGTCCTTCTTTCCTTCTCCTCTGGTTGTCCTTCTTTCTCGTCTCCTTCCCGCCTCAGCCTGTAACTTTCAGTTCCACATTCCCCCACCTTCCTCCTCGGGGCTTCATGTCCTATTCTTTAAATTCTCCCCTTTTTTTCTCCTCTTTTCCATCTTTTCACTTCTTCTCAATTCTAATCCGCTCCCCACCTATGTCAGGTCTTCCCCCTGGCGCCGTCGTTGCCATTCCTGTTTTTTTCTTTTACCAACCAAGACCACAGCTCTCTGCTCCTTTCATCTTTTTACTTATTTTTCCTCTTTCCTTTTTAACCTTCTTTCCTCCGTGTGTTCTCAGCTGGGAGAGCGGCTGGTGAAAAGCTTGGCAACGTCCACCGATCTTGCTGTATGAGTGTGTGAGTGTGTGTGTGAGGCAGTAAAAAAAAATGCCAACATCCCCTGCTGTCTTCCAGAGGTTTTCTGAAGGAGAAATTTCCTGATGTTCTTTAAAAAACTCACCACAGTTCTGTACGTTTTAGTTGTTAGAAATGACCAAACAGAGAGAGAGAGAGACGTGTGAAACAAAAAGCTTGYTTTATCTCTGGAGTTTTTGATTTTTGATACAGAATTAGCTTCAGGCCAAATAAAAACCTAATCATACCCTCAATTTTATTTTTTGTAATTCCAGTGGAATGTAAAAATTACATTTATTATAAAAAAAATCCTGTTAGCTGAGTCACATCAGCCTTTCTGGTYTTACGCAACCTCACAGCAGCTGCGATGTATTCACACCTGATTTTTTTTCGTCTGTTTGGTGTCCGAATCTTATTCCCGTGCAAAATCTTTTTAAAGTAAGTTTTATTGAAATCACTGGTGTTATACAGAAGCTTCCTCACACTATGTGACCACAAACAAGGACAGGTGGACTGGAAAAAAGACTGGTTTGCTTGTAAGCGGCAGCTTCTTTTCTTTTGCTCTGACATTCAGATGCTTTAGATCTAAACTGTGATAGAAGCAGCCTGTCTTCTTTAGCGTTATATATTTGTTTTGCAACTAAAATGAGATTGCATTGTTCAACATGTGTTAAATTGACAAGTTCAGTTGCATTTAATCTGGTAATAATGTGTGACATAACAGAGAAATAGATGGTGGAGTACTTACAGGTATGTTGGTGTGGACAATGCTTGTGTATTTGTGCAGAAATGTCTGTTAGTAAAATATCTTGAACTACTGAATGGGTGTAAACGAACCTTTCAGAAAGCGATCCCTGGTTCAACAGCTGATTACTACCTTTTTAGAGTCAGTCCAGGTCAAGATGGCCGCCAAAGCCGGTCAAAATCGGCTCGACACAAAACGACCACAACTCGGTCGGTTTTTCTTGAGCTGAAATTTGATGTGGTAACTGAGTGTCGTCCTCTGAGCATGGCTTCTAGCAATACCTTGCAAGGTTTTTGGGGTTCGGCGAAAACTGTTTGTCCTAACTGAAAATAAAATAATCTTACTCTGGGATTAAAGGCGATGGAAGATGTGCATTTCTTCAAGGAATAYTGGGYCTTTTAATTAATAACTTGATGCACATAAATGCGTTTTTTAGAGTGTAAGTTAGCAAAAATACACAGCTGCAACATTTAGACGAGCATGTGTCACTTTAGCTCTGTAACTGTAATTAAAATAGCTAAAATAAAAACTTTAAAGTGTTTTATTAAGCATCAACAGCATCTCTTTTAAATCATTCAAAGGAATTTTATTATTTTTTGTATTTTTTCTTGTTTTTATTAACACACCTGCAAAAAGAGATTTTCACATGTAGCTATATTCTGCTTTTATGTGGAAAATAGTTCCTAATTGTTAAAATAGATCATTTAACACACAGTAAGTTGAAGAATGTAATGCTCGTAACAGCTGGTTTTGTGCTCCGCAGCTCGACAAGAAGCTAAAAGTTTAATTTGCTGGTTTCTCTGTAACCTCAGTTWTGTTTATAGAGGTTCAGTGACTGAGGTTGAGATTTTTAGATGAGCTGAAACGAGTTCAGAGATGCGGGAAAGCACTGAAATCAAAGTCGCCGCTCTCCTTTTCTTAGTATGGACWCCAGAAATGAATTGCAGCATCAAATTTTAGCTGTAAGAATAGAATGAGACAAAAAAAAAATCATGCAGCATGCACGATCTGGAGCTGACGTGTTGCACAGGACATGCAGCCGGGGCGGCTCCTCCCAGATGACCCACCTGAAAGAACACGAGTCAAAGGCTAAATAAAAAGGCAGCTCAACTGCTCTGTCCTCGTGCTGCAACAGCCAAACTGACCCCAGGCAGAAAATGGAATCACTCCTCCTGAAATGGGCTCTCCACACACCAAAAACTAGTTTCACATTAGAGCCGATGCTGGTGACGGATGTCATCCAGGGAGGGGTTTTTCTGTACGTCTGCGCCTGTACAGGCTGTTCCCGTGCCTCGTCCTTATTGTGCAATAAGCCTAATCAATAAATTACATCCCTCCAGAGAAACGTCTGATCCCCAACAGGATCACAACCATTACGACACATTCAGTTAATTCAGAATTATTTATTTTATTTTTGTTGTTGTTTAATCTGTTGTTCCAGATGCATATAAATCAAGCGTTTACGGCTCTGCCCGTGTCTTTAATGTCTTTAATCGCTTATCAAGCTGAGGCAAATGAGGTTGAAATGGTTGCATTCAGTTGCAGCAGAAATTCTTCACTTGTGAGGCTTTTGTTTGGTGTGTGTGAGTGTGTGTGTGTGTGAGAGAGAGAAACAAATATCTTCAATGCCTCGTTGGTTTGAGCCGCTTGGTCGTTTTCCTCCGGTGTAGAGATTCAGACGGGAATGAATTCATAAACAATACGACATGTTAAAAATCCTTTGTGGCAGCAGCCCCATCGATCCACCGAGTCACATCGCATCTTCATGTGTGTGTGTGTGTGTGTGTGTGTGTGTGTGTGTGTGTGTGTGT